GTTCTCCAGGTATTGGTACTTTCTGAAACGACCCCTAGGTGATTGTAAAATTTAGCCAGGGATTGTAAAGTACACACCAGATGAGCTGACCCACCTCTCGGGGCACTTCTGATTCGGGTTCTAGGGCCTAGGCTGTGAGAGATGTTGCATACATACGTATTTACACCATGATTTTCAACCTGCTTTCACATTTTGATTCTGGTTGACTCTGTGTAAGCTCTGGTCCCTCCTCAGGGTTCAGACTTTCTGACAAATGTGGTCATCTTTCAAGACATGGTTTCTTTGCCTTCACACAGAAGGCAATTTTCAGCCCCGACCATGGAAGGAAAGAGAAGAAGGAGCTTCTGTCTGTGACTGAGCTGGGTGGGACCCACAGAGCAACAGGCTCATTGTGTGCTTCAACTTGAGACTGAGTTGTTACTGAATAGGAGAAAAAGGTGAGTTTAATAACAATATTATTTTTTACATAATTGGGGTGCAGTAACAGTGGATTCAATGAAATGAATAAAAATACCTTGAAAGGAAGCAGAACATTTTTTACCTTGGTTTGATGCACTGTGTCTTTGCTATCTAATGATGCATAACAAATTACCCCAAAACTTAGTGGCTTAAAACAACAACAATTTATTCTCTCTCATGGTTTCTGTGGGTCAGGAATTCAGACGGAGCCCAGCAAGCACAGCTTTTCTCTGCTCCTACAGCATCTGTAACCTCAGCTCGAGGCTGGAATCATCTGAAGGCTTGTTTCACTCTCATGTCTGGCGGTCGATACTGGCTATGGACTACAACACCCACGTGTGGCCTGGGCTTCCTCACAACATGGTGGCTGAATCCTAAGGGTAAGTGGGCTGAGAGTGAGGAAGCCAGACAGACTTCCTATTGCCTTTATGGCCTAGGCTAGGAAGTCAAGCAGTGTCATTTTTTTTCATTTGTATTGGTTGAGACACTTAAAAAGGTCCACTAAGGCTCAAGGGGAGGAAACATAGACTCCATTTCCTTCTGAAGGAATCTGAACATCATCTTGTAAGAAGAGCATATGAGATGGGATATTAGTGCAGCTATCTTTGGAAAATACAATCTGCCCCACATTGATTGTCTTTTTAATTTTCTTACTCATTTCCCTCCACCCCAGACTCCCAAGTAACACATGCTCATTGTAAGAAACAAAGTCAATAAAAATTGAGAATTTATGCACCAAAGTGGGTTTCTTCTCCCACTTTACTCACTATCTGAATCCCATTCCCTAGACATAACCACTATTAACAGATTGATGAGTATTTGTCTATACAAACTATATACATATAAATATATACAGCTTTTTAAAAAAAATAACACTACACATTATTCTGTAACTTGCTGTGTTTATTCATTATTATATGATGAACAGAGTTCCATATTATACCTATGGAAACACCTAATTCTTTCTAATGCTGGCTGCCATAGTGTGGCTATAGCATAACTTATTTAAGCAGTCTTCTGTTGATGGATATTTTGGTTGTTATCCTTTATTTTTTAACTATTACAAACCAATGATGTAATGAACATCTTTATACTGGTAATATAGGCTAATATCTTAAAAATGGAAATATTTTGTTCAAAGAATATGCAGGGTACTATTTTTAAACACAAGAGTGGGTTTAAGGTGAGTGTCATTGTTATAAGATAAATCTACATTAAGCAGGATACACATTTTTTCTTTGCAAATGAGCAAAACATGCAAGAAAACATGTTTGTTCTTAGGTTTAGAAGATGCTTATAAGCTTTGAAGGAAACTTCTCATTTATTTAGAAAATGATGAGTGGCAGGAAGTAGGTGGTTATGAAGAGAGGGGTCCATTTCCTTTTCTAATGTTTTTAACTCAGGCTGATATGGAATTGAATGTGGATTCTTCAAAGTTCACAGTGATGCTTAGAAGGTCATCAGAAGGTGAGAGCAAACCGGAAACCAACTTGAGGCAAAAAAAAGAAGTGTCATGTATGACCCAAAAGTGAATAAAAAAGATGACTCTACTGGCCATACAGATGAATAAATGGACATATAGTCGGCCCTCCATATCCATAGGTTCTGCTTCTGTGGAGTCAACCAACCTTGGATCAAAAATATTTGGAAAAAAATGGATGGTTATGCCTGTACTGCACATGTACAAACTTTTTTCTTGGCATTATTCCATAAACAATATAGTATAACAACTCTGTACATAGCATTTACATTGTATTAGGTATTATAAGTAATCTAGGTATGATTTAAAGTACACGGGAGGTGTCTGTAGGTTATGTGCAAATACTATGCCATTTTATATAAGGGACTTGAGCATCTGTGGATTTTGGTATCCACGGGGGTGGATTCCAATAACATGAACGTGTCGTCCTGTCCACCTATCCATCCTTTGTTCACAAACGGCTAATGGGTAATTTACTCTGGGGTCCTTCCCTCTTGCAGAGACGGGTTATGAGAAACTTCTTTGCCAGGAATGAAGTTCTGACGCATGCCACAACATGGATGAACCTTGAGGACATTATGTTAAGTGAAATGAGCCAGGCACAAAAGGACAGATATGGTATGATTCCACTTACATGAAATGTCTAAAATAGGTACATTCATGGAGATAGAAAGTAGATTAGAGGTGGGCTGGGGGTAGGAGAAATGGGGAGTTATTACTTAATGGATACAGGGTTTCTGTTTGAGGCGATGAAAGTTTTAGAACTAGATAGTGGTGACAGTTGTACAACATTGTGAATGTGACTAATGCCACTGAATTGTATGCCTAAAAATGGTAAAAATAGCAAATTTTATGTCATATATCTACACACACACGGCTTCTTTGCTGGAGCAGAAGAGAAAGGTTAGGGCTCTGTCAGTGTTCCCATGGCTTTGCCTTCCCTTTTGTTTTTAAAAGAACAACCTCTATTTTTAGGGATTTTCACACAAAGGCTTGTGGGTGTGGGAAGTACTCCCAGCTGCCCTCCTCTTTCTCAGAAGCCCACATGGAAGCCTAGCAAGTTATTTAAGGTTTAGGAAATATGCCAGATTGGAAATGGAGATAATTTAATCTCTCTGTATGTTAATTTAGTTTTTTCTCCAACATGAGGCCCTGGAAACCTTACTTCACCCCTAGGAAAGGTGGTTCTGGGTCTTGTGGAAGGTGGTGAGGGTAATTCCGCCCTAGGCAGCATGCTTAGGAACACTTTCTCGGCAAAAGCAGCTCTACTCCCTGAGAGTTTGGGGGTCACCTGGTCCAGCAGCCATTCGCACTGGTGCACAGGGCCTCTGCTTGTCCGGACGCTTCTCCTGCACCTGCCCAGGGGGCTGCGGCCTTTCCCGCACCCCGGCTTACTCGCCATGTGTTCAGTGTTGGACAGCAATCCTTAGAAGGAGCTGCAGCGGGTGGGCTCCTGTCTCTGGCCCCCTAATCCCAGGGCAGGGCACCTCGGCAGGTTGCATTGTCCAGGGGGTAGCGGCAGTGGCTGGCCAGGTGGAGTCTGTGGGCTTGTGGACCCCACCCCCCTCTATCATCCCCCCAATGCCTGCCCTGCCTACCCGAGTTAAGATTCTCATCCGTTTCTCCTGAACCTGGCGGGGGTCTGGGAGCGCCCAGCCCCCTTGGGCTGCGGTAGGTGTGCGGGCCCACACTTGGGGAGGGGAAGTGTCCGCAGCCTCTCCCTCTCCACCTGGTGGGTGCTGGCGCGGCTGGGTGCCCAAGCTGGGGCGGGAACACCTCGCTGCCCAGAGAGGGTCAGCCACGTGGCGGCGGGGCGGGGACAGGGCGGGTCCTGCGCTGGGAGCTGTTGTCCCGGAGCAGGTGAGGACGGACGGGTTGGGGGGGCGAGGAAAGGGGGGAAGGGGGTCTCGGGGTCCGTTCCTGTCCGTGGGAGGAGCTCTGGCCTGCATGAGGGGTCAGGCTTGGGGTCACCTTTGTCCCCACCCCGGCTCAGGTAGATCCTCCCCTCCGCTGGTCACCTGGCGCGCCCGCACTCTGAACGGCTCTCCCCAGCGGCCGGAGCACTCGGGATGCGCGTTGTGTCTGCGGGGTGCTGAGGGGCCTGGGTCCCGGCGCGGCAGGGAGCGGCCAGGCGGTGGGCAACGGTGGCCGTAGCAGGTCTGAGGTCCCGCGGGCTGCAGGGGCTGGCGCGGCTCTGGGAGCGCGGGACTTACCCGGCCTTCTAGCCACCACTCGTCACCCGGATTTTGGCAGGACCGCAGCCCACCAAGTCCCGCCGTCTCCCCAGCTTCTCTCTGGGCAAACCCTGTTCCCCAACCCCCAACTCTTTCTTTGAAGACCGCTCAGTACGCCCTCCCTCCTTGCCATCGCTGGCTACTATCGTTGGAGCTCTGCCTCCTTTCGCCTTCTCTTCCTCCCCTTTCCTCCTCCTTCCAAAATGTCACGAGCCCATCCACGTTCCAGCACTATGCTGGGGACAGGGGGCACACAGATCAGAGGACAAGGTCCCTGCTGCTGCAGGGGAAGAGTGCTGGTGGGTTCCGGACTGGCCCTAACAGTGATGCTCCCACCACGTTTTCTCACCCACTCCCTTCACTCCCCTACACTTTTCTGCCCTGTTCCAGAGGGGCTCCCAAGACAGCCCCTAATCTCCCCTCTCCCCTCTGCTCATGCCCAGTTGACGTCCACTCACCATCTGCAGCCAGTCGTAGTGAGCTGATGGTGCCCTTGCCTGGACCGAGGGGTCTGGGAGGCACGCAAGGGCGGGACAGGAGTGTAAACTGTGTCCTCAGGGCTGGGCAGCAGGCTCTGACCCTCACACATTGAAGGTGCACAGGAAAGAAAGTGAGCTGGGAGTGGCTGTGGCTCAGGACAGCAAGATTTGAGCACAGGTGGGCTCTGAGGGATGAGTGGCATCTATTTGAGTACCAAATAGGTGACCGGGATGAGTTCCTAGATGAAGTAGACAAGGCCTTGCCTGGTGCAGAGGAAGGTGGACAGTGAGGAGAGAAGAACGGGGGAGACAGCCTGACCGAGGGTGCTGTTTGCTTTGCAGAGCAGTCTCCCCACCCAGACCACCAGGACCCCATTTGCACAAGACCGGCCCAGATGTCTCAGGTGCAGGAACTCTTCCACGAGGCCGCCCAGCAGGTAGGCTGGGAGATGTGGGGGTCTGGGGTGAGCTACCAGAAACCTATGACAAGGGATCACCAGACAGAGAGCTGAGTGGAAGGCAACATTATAGTGTGCTATTTAAAATGATCTCTGAACTTTATTTCAGTGTTCCAGTTTAATTGAGAAAATATTATAACCAACTCTTAACCATCTGTGTACAGAAAATCTTTGACATTATTTGCAATGGATTTTGAATCCTGGGCATCCCCCTCCCCCATGCCATCATTGGAGGTCTCCATAAACAGTGAGGACGCAGATAATATGAACTCTTTTTAATACTGAATCAAAGCAATGTAAGAAGGTGAATTTATTTCTGAAAAACTCATATGTACTGAAACCAGATGGATTCCTGGATTCCCTGATGTTTGCCAGTTTTTTTTTTCTTTTTCTTTATCCTCTTCCTATTCATTGTTAGTGATAGTAAATATTCAACATGTAGGCATGCAATTGAGGTGGATTGCCCCAGAAAGAGAGAGTTGATGCCTTAAGAAACAAAAAACTGTGCTTAGGTGTTTATCAAGAAACTGCTTGTGCCCAGGGTCTTTGCCTTCAACTAGAAATTTCACTGCGCCTTGGATTTCCCTCCTGCTTTGCAGAGAGGGGCAGGGGCATTGCCCAGCATTATGTAGTAACAGGGCGAGTGAGCCCCTCACAAGGGGAGAGAACCAACTCCAGGCCTCACGCCATAGGAAGAGAGCAGGGTCCAGAAGTGCCCTGAGCCAAGGGGCAGAAGAGGGTGAGGAAGTTGGGGTCCAGGCTTGGTGAGGGAATCCAAACTGGCTGGTCACCCCCTTTTTATGCACACAGGTAACGTGAAAAATGCAGCACAGTGGCTGGCAGGTGTTAAGTGCTCAGTGAAAAGTACTGCTCCCCTTTCCCCGGCAGGCCCAGGGCTGCGTTCCTGCCCCTCAGTTCTTACCTCTCACGCCCAGCCCTGGAAGGATTCAGGCTGCTTAGACATGAGTGGCTGGAAACTCAGAACAGCTCCTCAGGGATATTTCAGAACTCCTCCCCAGAGCTGTTCGCTTCCAGGTGACAAGGCCTGGGGCCGCGCTGTTAGTGTGGGCGGGGGGGCCCTCAGAGATCTAGGTTTGTCAGGGGCCTCACGTTTAGTTGGAGCAGTCTGTTGCTTGCTTCCCATGTGTTTTGTCTGAGTGTGTGAGACTGCACATGGGTGTGTATGCTCTCAGCATGTATTTGTGCACTGCTTCCTAAATAGTGGGCACAGCGTTAAGCATGAAAAAGAAACCCAGGTGGAAAATATGAGGCCTCAGGGATTCCGAAAGGAGAGACAAGTAAGACATTCTGGCTTCTCCTCTGTGAGAAGTATCTGTTCCTCTCTTCCCTGTTTAAAACCTTCAGTGGCCCCTCATGTCCACCATGCATGGTTCAAACCGTGTCGCCTCAGCCCTGCACAGTCTGCTCTTGCCTGAGTGTCGAGTCTGGTTCCCTGCATCTTCCTCTTCCTGGCATGACTTCCAGCCAAACCACACCGTTCCCCAGTGCTTGTCCTTCCCTGGGTTTTGCTGATACTTCTCACTCAACCGATGCATCACTGAAACCCTCCCAGTACCTAAGGCAGTGGCTGGCATTTAAGTGGCATTTAGTTGGCTGACCACATGAACAGACAATAGGTAACTCCAGTGCAAGTCACATTGGCAGAAGTGCCCCAAGAGAGTGATTCATAACATGTAATGCATACAAAGGCCTCTGTGTCACCTCCTTCTCTCCCAACATCCGA